TTCGCACCGGGCTCGTGGCTCGGCGTGTGCTGCGCCGCCCGCCTGCCCGCCGCCGCCTCGCCGCGCTACCTGCTGCCTGCGGAGGACGAGGAGGCGGCGGCGGCGGAGGGCGGCGTGGCGCGGGCCGGCGGGGGCAGCCCCGGCGGGGCGCGGGGCGGCGGGCGGCCGCGGGGCGGCGGCGGCGGCGGCGGCGGCGGTGGTGCCGGGCTGCGGGCGCAGGTGAGCGGCGTGCAGAAGCAGCGGCGGCTGGCGGCCAACGCGCGGGAGCGGCGGAGGATGCACGGGCTCAACCACGCCTTCGACCAGCTGCGCAATGTCATCCCCTCCTTCAACAACGACAAGAAGCTCTCCAAGTACGAGACGCTGCAGATGGCGCAGATCTACATCAGCGCCCTGGCCGAGCTGCTGCACGGCCCCGCCGCCCCTCCCGACGGCCCCGGCAAGGCCGAGCACCGCGGGGCCCCCTTCGAGTCTCCTTGCGCCGCCTCCGGGGCCGGAGCGCCGCCGGGGCCGCCGGCGCCGCCGCCGGGGCCGCCCAGAGCGTCGCCCCCCGGGCACGGCAGGACTCGCTTCCCCCCGCCGCCACCCACAGGGGGCTACTCGGTGCAGCTCGACCCGCTGCACTTCTCCTCCTTTGCGGAGGGCGCCCTGATGGGACAGAGAGCCCCTTCCCCCGCCCTCCTCATGCCGCAGCCCGGGCAGCCGCCGCAGGAGAGGAGCAAAACTTCGCCCCGGTCCCACAGGAGCGACGGGGAGTTCTCGCCCCGCTCCCACTACAGCGACTCGGACGAGGCCAGCTAAGGCGAGGGGGTCGTCCCCGACAACCCCTCCGGCCGCCCCGGGGCCGCGGCCACCCCTAGAAGCACAGACTCCGCCATGGGGGGAGCAGCCGGCCGCGGTGCTGCCTCGGACGGCATCAGCTCTCCTTGGTCGCTTTGAAATTCACCCCCTCGTCTCCCACCCCCGGTAGCCCCTGGGTTTGTCCAGGAGGAATGGCTGTTAGCGAGTGACTGCACCCGCCCTATCTGTCAGGGTCGGTTGGTTGTTTCCATTTTTAGTTACCACTTTAAAAGTTTCTTATGCCTAGAAGTCGTTGCCGTTCCCTCCTGCCAACACGCCACCTCGCAGCGCGGAGCCTGGCTTGCCCTGCCGGCGAGCAGGTGATGCGCAAGGAGAAAGCCTGGCCCCGCTGCCGGGGGTGCCGGGGTGCCGCCGGCGCCATCCCCACCTGGCCGTGAACCCACCCTGACACCCCTGTCTTCCAGGACACCGATCCTGCTCTGGGTCGTATTGCTGTGGAAACACAGACACACACAAGTGTCAATA